TTTGAGAGACTTAAATCTTGATCTGCCCCCAGGACATTCATCATGCTTTATTTAAAAATTTTTTATTGATATCTTTTCTCTTTAAATTAGTCATTTTAATCAGCTCCCCCTTCAGATTTAATTGTGACAAAAAAAAATTAAGCAAAAACACTGGAGGCACGAAATATCGTATGAACATATCTGATAATCTAACAATAATAACTAACATTTATACAGTGTTTCAAGCTGGCAAAGCACTTGCTTCTCACAACCCTGTGCTAATATTTCTATTTGGAGAGAGATCAAGTGACTTCATGTCCAGAATCACATAGCTCATGCTGAGACAGAGTTTGAACTCAGATTTTCCTAAGTTTAACACTCTATCCCTTATATCAAAGAAATAGGACTGGGTCTATGACCTAATTGACATAAATAATCTGGGGTGAGCACACTCCCTCTAGCAATGCAGGCTGGAATTTTCTCTGCAACCTCCAGATTTGACATATTGCCATGGACGTCGAGAGGTTCAGGGTAACATAGCTAGCCTGGACAACAAGTCCAGAGACCAGACTTGAATACAGGTCTTCCTGACTTTAATCCTGACTTTGTCAACCATCCCAAACTTCCTCTAAATGTTATGTATAAGTTGCCCTTCCACTGGGAGGAGGGAGCTGGCTTAACTCTTTTCCGAAACTTTCCTTGGTTTTTCCATTACTCATGGGCTCACCTGCCTTTCAGCGATCTTTTCATTTACACTGTTGTAGTTATTGCAAATGTTGCTCTTTTGGTTCTGCATGGTTTGCTCTGCATCAATTCAAATAGAACTTGGCAAGTTTCTCTAAATCCCTTGCTTGTCATTTCTTATTCCACAATAATTTTCTATTAAATTTATATCCCATAGTTTTTCAGTCATTTCCCAAATGATGGGAATCCACTTTGTGTTTAGTTTTTTGCTACCCCAAAGATTGCTTCTATGACTATTTTGGGAAATCATAAGTCTTTGTTTTTGCTTTTGATCGTGGTAGGGTATAAAGGCAGTAATGGAGAAGAGCAAGTAGAATTTAGTCACTTTTCTGGCATAATTACAAACTGAAATCCAATATGGCTGGACTACTTCACAACACTACCAAACAAGGGTGTCAGTATATCCATCTTCCTACAATCTAACACTGACTGGTCCCACTTTTTCACCTTTGCTTATTTGCCTGGCATATGGAAAAATCTCAGAGCTGCTTTAATGTGCCTTTCTCTTATGGCTTCATGTAGATCTGCACAACTTGCCAGTAGGTAAGGGAAAAAATTAAAATAGGTCAAACTTCTTTGGGTTGTGGATAGGTTTTTAGTAGTTCACTTTCCAAGTAAAGGTATAATTAATGATTAAACTATTTTGCAAATAAAGCATATTTATAAAAAAGGAAATTTCAATTAACAGCAATTAATTACATTTATTATTTAAGATTTTTATTTATCATGAAGTTGCTCTTCTCAGTCTAGAGACAGACGATGGTTGGTTGCCATGGGTCACATGACAAACAGGAAAGAGTGTGCAGTGGCAACCCATCCACCAAGTTACATGACAGGCACAATAGTGACTAGTAGAAGGCAGATTAAGCGGGGCATGGACAAAGCACTCGTTACATCTTTATTTTCTTTTACATCCTCTGTATTTTTCATGGGCCACCAGAACCTTTGGCAGGCTGTAGGTTGTGCAGACCTGGCTTAGTGATTTGGAAAATGTTTTTGTAGTAATTTATAGTATGCAACTCTTCTTCTCGAGTCTTCCTTTTTCAAACATATCAGTACCTGGCTCATTACTCTTCTCCAGTTCAACCTTTTCCCCTATACTCTATGTGTGTGTGTTCTCTCAAATATCTGGACCTCCCAATTCATCTGTATCTCAATTCTCATTACCTATACTCAAAACTCTAGTGAGACTGTTTTCTACAATGTAACTAATGACCTCTTATCAAATCTTACAGCCTTTTCTCAATCCTCCTTAACCTCTTTGCAACATGTAACACTGTGGATCACGCTTTCCTTCTGAATAGTCTCTTTTCCAGGTTTTCATGACACTGTTCTCTTCTGAGTCTCCTTTATGTACAAATCTGATTCTCATATTCCTTTGCTGCTTCTTCATCCATGTCATATCCAGTGTAGGCATTGTCCAAGGCTCTGTCCTGGGCTGTCTTTTCTTTTTGCTCCATACTTTTCACACGGTCTCATCAGCTTCTCTGGGTTCACTTATCATCTCTATGCTGATTCCCAAATACCCCCACACACAGACACATACATACCTACAGCCCAGTCTCATCTTAAGTTCTAGACCAGGGGTGGGAAACCTGTGGCCTCCAGGCCGCATATGGCCCGCTAGGTCCTCAAGTAAAGCCCTTTGACTCCAAATTTTCTGTTCTGTGAAGTTTGGTTTCAGTCAAAGGGCTGCAATTGAGGACCTAGAGGGCCATATGTGGCCTTGAAGCTGCAGGTTCCCCGCCCCTGGTATACCTATCTTGTATGTGCCTAGTTATTTACACATGCTTTCCCTTCAGAATGTATGCTTCTTGATAGCTGGCATTACTTTTTTGCCTTTCCTTGTATCCCTAGAGCCTAGCACAATGCTTGGTGCTTAATAAATGCTCATTTGACTACGGACCATTTCCTCTTCCCTAAATACTATCCCCTTCCTAAGTTTTGGTGACACCGTTCTTTTTTGGTTTTCTTTTAGGTTATCCATTTCTTCTTAGTCTCCCTTGCTCAACAATCATTTATTTACCTCCACCTCTGCATGGATATAGCTCATGATTCTGTTGTTAGTTCTGTTTTTCTCTGTTCTCTTTCTGGGATCTCATCGGTTGTCAAGGATTGAATGATCACTTCTATGTCTCCCATATCTACTTATTAAACCATCTTCTTTTCCCAGCTTTCCTGAGTAATCCTCCACCAACTGCCTTCTGGATATCTTAAACAGAACTTTCCAAAACACATCTCTTTTTCTAACTTCCCTGTTTCTGTTGAGGGTGCCAACATTCTTGCCACCACTCAGATTTGTAACCTAGAAGTCACCTTTGATTCTTCACTCTCTCTCAACCCTCCTTCAAACCCAACCGGCAAGTCCTGTCAACTCTAACTCCAAATTTCTTATAATTAACCCTTTATCTTCCCTCACACAACCACCAACCTAATTCAAGGTCTTAACCTCAACTGTTAGCTTCCTAAATCTCCCTGCTACCAGTCTCTTACTCTCTCTAATCTATCCTCTACAGATGCCAAATTGATATTCCTAAGACACAGGTCTGACAATGTTACTCCCCTACTCAAGAACATTCAGGGGTTCCCCCTTGCCTGTAAAAAAAAAAAAATTCCTCTGGCTCTTAAAGCTCTTCACCATCTGGCTCCACCCTATCTTACTAGGCTTATTTCATGGTACTCCCCACTCACATACCTATTTCAAAGTGGCTTACCTGCTGTCCCTTGAAGAGCAGTGCATTTCTCTCAAGAGGATATTGTCCCTCATGCTTGAAATGTTCTCCCTCTTTACCCCATCTGGTAGAATCCTTAGTTTTTTTCAAAGAATAACTAAAGAGTGAGGCCTTACTTGATCTCCCCAATAATTAGTGCTCCCCCTCTGAAATTACTTTGTATAATACTTGCTCTGCATGTTTTATGTGTACTTATCATGTAGATTTTGTCTCTACCATCCTCAGTAGAATATAAGTTCCCTGAGGTCAAGAACAGTTTCATTTTTGTCCTTATAGCTCTAGTAAAAGAATAGTGTCTGACATGTTATCAGGCTCTTAATAAATACTTGTTGAAATGATAGCTCTCTACAAATTATTAAAAATGAAAGTATAAAAACTGATTAAGTTCAGCATGAAGTTAAAATTAAATTGTGGTTGAAAATATACTGTATTTTTACTGTTGGCATGTTGAAAATTCTATTAAAGTTATTAGAAGTAGCATTGTTATTACCAGACAGAATGGTGTAGTGGAGCCTCGCCATGACCTGAAAGCCGATCTAAGAGCCAGGACAACGTGGGCTCCAGAAGGGCCTTAGACATATAGTAGGTGACCCTGTACAGGTCATGCTACCTCTCAAGTACCAGGCAATTCTAACCGTAAGTTATAGAACTGTTGAAAATCTATATTGGTAGGAGTTTCTTCACTCAGAATTCCTCAAACCAATAACAATGCTAATAATATTAGCTAACATTTATATGTTGTTGTTCAATTGTATCTGACTCTTCGTGACCCCATTTGGGGTTTTCTTGGCAAAGACACTGGAATGGTTTGCCATTTCCCTCTCCAGCTCTTTTACAGATGAGGAAACTGAGGCAAACAGAATGAAGTGACTTGCTCAGGGTCACACAGCTATTAAGTGTCTGAGGCCAGATTTTAACTCAGGAAGATGAGTCTTTCTGACTCCGGGCCTGACACGCTATCTACTGCACCACCGAGCTGTATTTATATGTGCCAGGCACTGGGCTAAATGCTATATAATCATTATCTCATTTGATCCTCACAACAACCTTAAGAGATAGGTGCTATTATTATGCCCATTTTATATATCAGGAAACTGAGGCAAACAGAGATTAAGTGATTTGCCCAGGGTCACAGAGGTAGGAAGTGTTTGAGGTGAGATTTGAATTCAGGTCTTCCTGACTCTTAGAGCCCAGAGTCTAGGCCCAGCTCTCTATTAAAAAAAAAAAAAATTACAGATCTCTATCATTAAAAGTTTACAATAAAGACTACAGTAGTAAAAAAAAGTCCCTATGGAAGGTCAGACAAAGCTAAAAAATAGATTGTTTGCCTAAATTCTATAACTCTGAAAAGTTACCCTTTTTCCAACTCAAGCTATGCATTGTACACCATCCTTGGTTGTATACTATTATCACAATTTAATCTAACAGATTATTTCTGTGTTTAGTTTTAGTGAATGAATGCATCAAATAGGGTCTTTAGTGTGGGGAAAACAGAAGACTTCATCCTTAGACAAACAGAATTAGACGGAAAAAAGAGCAGAGAACTAAGATTTCAGCTTTTAAAAGGGAAACACAGCTTACTGTTGTTCTATGGCACCCCCTAATGTTCACATATGGCATATCACTATAATAGCATTGAAATGATACAGAATTAAATAAAACTTGGAAAACAATACGAAGTCAAAATGTAAAATTCATGAAATTTTTTTTCTTTTATGGTTCCAGTGGACACTTTAAAATGGTATATAATTTCATTCAATTTACTGGAATGTTAGTTGAAAAAAACATGTGACAAATGCAGTAAAGAAAAAAGTTAATTCTAATGGCTAAATTAATAGAAAAATTAAATTTTTGGTAGTAGCATGAAACATCAATGAGGCAGAGAGTGATTTTTAGAGAGCCTTCCAGAATCAAACTTAGAAAAAAAAATAAAACAAAAACAAACAAAAAACCCCAAAGTTTAACCTGGATATGTTGTTGTAGTTATATACAAAGTGTTTTGGCACTGTATAAGTAAATATACAGTAATAAATCACTGTGTACTTAAATAAGTATTAAATAGTAAGGCTAAAAAGCTCTAGACAATCTACCTATCCCAAATGTTTAATAAAAGAGAATAAGAGAAATTAGCAAAGCCCTATGATGTTGAGAGTTTCTATTACACAATAAATATTTTAAGGTAGCCTTGCAACTATCCAAATTGTTTGCTCCACCTGTTGGCTAAATGCCCGTTATTATAAAAAAATTTCAGTGTCAATGGGGCAATGAAGACATTAAAGAGAGATGGCAATAGCTATCCCTCCCTCATTTGCCTGTTGGGCTACCCTCTTCCAGACTATGTAAGCAAAATGGAGAGACTGCAAACTGAGATGATTTTATCCTACCTGCACAGATGTTTTAAGAGAAGACTGCCCAGGAGATGCAATATGAGAAAGAACATCTTATGGCTAAAGCACATTGGATTTTCCTGTACAAACAAGTATTAAAGAAAGATCCCTTTTATCAAAGGACAATTAAGAGTACACTGTCATTATGAAAACAGTAGCCAAGACGTTTTGCAACACTAGCAAGATGGATATATTCTGTCAACTTTGTAATGATGATTTATATGACAAATAGTTTAAGTTACATTTAGTGGGAGTCCATTTTCTGTTTACAGGTATGTCTCTTATACATAAAGAGAGTATTTTGCAAATAAATGGAGAGAAGATCACATTCATCTCTTTCCAACATGTTTTTGGACACAAAGTCTCTCAGTGCTCTGCTTCCTTTTTGGAGGTTAGTGCTAAGCAGCAAGTGGTTCTTACTGTGTATAGATCATCCCCATGCCTGAGATTTGCAGTAATGCAGGACCAGCTTACCATCACTGCCAAAACACTACAAAAGAGGGAAAAAAAAAAAAAGAGAAAATACAACAAAGAATTAAGCTCCACTGCACTCAGCCTCAATGTGTAATCTATTCCTCAAAATGAAATTAACACCATCAAATGTCATAGACCACAAATATTTTGCAATATTCCTACATATATGTGAGCAAGTAGATTATAAGCATTGCAACCTTAATCTGTTAAGCAATGAGTGCTTTCCTTTGACACAATTAGGAATACTTAGTGAATTCAGCCATTTCAACCGTGGACAGAAGTATACTTTCTTAATCTTGCTCATACTGAATCCAGCACTAAAATGGTATATACTTGAGATACTTTTTTTACTGGTAATGAATTTAATTGCATTTAGCCACATTTCCTCTTCCCATTATGGTTATTGTTCTAATTAGTAATAATAATCTAAACTCACATTTGTCAGGTGTTTTTCTTACAACTCTGTGGGAGAGTACAGGTATGTATTTTACATGTAAATGTATTATATACACATATGTATACATATGTATTATATGTATTTTACAGATAAGGAAACAAGTCCATAGTAGAGGTTAAGTGATTTATGTAATGTCAGACCTGAGGGCCTCTCAAAATTGAACCTCTTTTTATCTCAAGTCCAGCATTACCCTTCCTCCCCCCACTTACACATACTAGGCAGCTGAAAGACAAATGACAATCTTGACTAGCCATTTCCCCCGAATCATCCAGGAAATGCTGGACAATTGACTCTAGGAAAAAGTAAGAAGGGTTGGAGCTAGTTAAGACATAGCGATAACAAACAAGATGAATCAGAAATCCCAACAAAAAATGACCTCAAAAGATATATTGAGATTTGGTAGGTCAGGACCTTTACCTGGAATACAGCTCTGAAGGGATATACCCCACAGAAAAGGAACAATATAGGAAGAAGAGGGAAAGAATGAGTAGCAATTTGTATGAAGAAAGAACCCAATGAATCAGAGGGGGAAAAGATGGGGATGATCTGGGTGAAGATCAGTAGAGAAAGACACAGAAATGCTACTGTTATTGAACAAATAGAAGAAACAGATGAGGAATCAGGAAGATTAGAAACACAATATAGTAATGGTGGAAGCTTCAGTTATGTGGACACCTGATGGAGTTCCCTCTCTCTCTTATAGAAGCAAAGCAGCCAGTAATCTCCTGGTTTGCCTTGATAATAATTTCACCCTTCAAAAGAGGGGAGGAACCAGAAGGTGAACTGTTCTACCAGACCAAATTCTCAACAAAATGGTGAAACTGATTGTTGAAATAGAAATGAAGGGATCCTTCACGGTTTTGACCAATACTAATTTGCAATAGAGGAGAGGTGGGCACAGTCTGACATGCATTCTATTATTCAGAGAAAGGTTAGATTGAATACCATGGCCTAAATTTTTTTTATAGAAATAGGCTCAAGAGGAATGAGAAGCCTTCATGAATAAAATTCAGAAGATACAAAGAGAAACTTTGATGAAGACAAAAAGATGGTTATTATCTTAAGATATAGTTATATATATACATAGAGAACTCACTGAGCAACTTAAATTTTTAAAAAGACATGAACAATAGACAGCAATGAAGTCAAGTAACAGAGGATGACTACAAAAGCATGGCATGGTCCTATAAGAATAGTGTTAGGTATACTTAGGTGTTCTATAGTGAAAAATGAGCTGAGACTAGTAAAGAAAAATGGACCACAAAAGCTAAATTGGGTTGTGTGTGGGGGAAATATTGAAAAAAAGATAGGACTACTGTTTATGATAGATGAGATAATGAAAGACAGAAGGCAGAACTAACTGTTCTACTCTTATTTTCCTTTGGTTAACTCTGCTGAGAATAATCTTTGGACTGGGAAAAAAAACCACCAAAAAAAAAAAAAGGCTAGTTTGTAATTGAAACCTAAAATAAGTAAGGAGATGGGAATAGAACACCTTGCCACTTTTCATAAATTCAAGTCACCAGGTCCAGACAGATTACATCCCAGAGTACTGAAAGAACCAGCAGATTTGATCGCTGAGACTCTGTTTACTGATATTTGAAAGATTTCAGAGAACAGGAGAGGCACCACAGGTCTAGAGAAGGCAGAATGTTAACTCAATTTTTAAAAAAGTGAAGAGAATGTAATCTACAGACAATATATCAATGAGGTGACTTCAAATCTTGATAAAATTCTACTTTGTGTTAATGGTATGGGGGGTGAACATCTAGAAAAAGAAAACAAACAGCTAGTATAGCTTCATCAAAAACAATTTATTTAAGATGAACCTCATTTTCTTTTTGGACAGGTTACTAGACTGGTAGATCAGGGGTATGCCAGAGTCAGCTTACTTGGATTTTAGCAAAATATGTGACAAAATCTCCCACGTGATGGCTGTGGACAAGATGACAAGGGCTAATGCCACAGAGAAAGGTCAGAGAAATGAATTAAAAGGTGGCTGAATGACCAGATCTCATTAATGGCTCAAAGTCAACTTGGATAGAAGTTTCTAGAAGGAGATGTGCTTGTGTTGTTTAATATTTTTATCAATGACTTGGATAAAATTGTAGATGGCCTCATCAAATTTCCAGATCACCAGTTTATAGATATACAGCTGGAATATACTTTTAGAAGCCAATTAAGTTCAACAATTTAATTTTAGAGACAGTTAAGAAGGGGCCCAGGCAGGTTATACTAGGTTATCCAAGGTCACATAAGTAGTGTAAGTACAAAGTTAACATATTATATGACAAAGCTAAGATCCAAAACAATCTCGACAGGCTAGAATGCTGGTGTAAATCTAATATGAAATTTATTACAAAGAAATATAAAGTCTTACATTTGGATTAAAAAAAAGTCAGCTCCACAAATATAAGATGGGAGGAGGGCAATATAGCTAGAGAGCAGTTTATTTGAAAAAAATCTGGGGGTTTTAGTATACTGAAAGCTCAGTATGAGTCAACTGTCAATGACAATTATTGTGTAAGATAGCAACTAAAAATCTAATGTGACAGGGCGATAGAGATACAGTATCCAAGAACCGGAAGGAACTAGTCCCTCTATATTCTGCCCTGAACAGATCACATATAGATTACTATGTTCAGTTCTAGGCAAGATATTTTTTGGAGAACATTGCTAAGTTGGAAAGGGTCCAGAAAAGATGAATGACCAGAAGTTCATGCTATAAGAGGTTCAGTTGAAGGAACTGAGGATGTTTAGTCTGGAAAAGAGAATACTAAGGGGTGGAGTGTGTGTGAACATGTACGTGTGCATATGAGTATATGGAGAGAGAAGAGCTGTCTTCAAATATATGAAAGAGTGATTAGATCTGCACTTCTTGGTCCCAAAGTCCAGAAGTGCAGAGATCCCAGATTCTGACTTGATATAATCAGAGTTATCCAACAGTGAAATGGGTTATCCTGGGAGGTTTTTATCATTAGAAGTCTTCAAGCAAAGACTGGACAGTCACTTGTTGGGGTTGTTGCACAAAGGATTTTGGTTCAGGTAGAGGTTATACTATGAACCTGAATATTGGTTTTCCCTCCAATACAGTTCAAAGTTACATATACAAGATCATTATGGACAGTAAAATATCAATGACCTAAGATAAGCAGAAATGTAACTTATCAATAATTTATCTATATCCACTATGTAAAGGTTGAAATTAATTACCTCATAGAGTGTTCCAACTTCTTGATCTGGTGAAGGAGCAAAGGACTGATTCACATATATAAACTATAAGGAAAGAAAAAAATGTCATTATTATCCAATGTCATAATTATCCAATCTTCTTTCATAGCTCAGCATCTTGAGTAAACAGCGTTTCTTCCAATTCCTGATCACTTACATCTAACTCTTTGCTCTGAGTCTATGGTCAAAACTACTGTATCATTCTGGTTACAAAGAAACCTGGAAAGAGATATATACTGATACAGAGTGAAGGGAAAAGAACCAAGAGAACAATTCCTACAGTAACAATAATATTGCAAACACAAACAATCTTGAAAGAACTTTGAGATGCTCAATAACCAACCATATTTCCAAAGGTGCAATCATGAAGTATGCCACCCACTTCCTGATAGAAGTGATAGACTCATTTTTTGGGGGGTGGGGTGGGGTGTGTGTGGACAATATGGAAATTTGTTTTGCTTGACTATGCAAAGTTGTTACAAGGGTTTTGTTTTTCTTCTTCCTTTCCAAAGGAGAAGGCGAGGGTGAAAGAGAGAAAATAGATTTTTAATTGAATGAAATTTAATTATTTTTGAAAGAAAAAAAAAATACATTTCTCCAGTTTCATACTTTTCCTACCTAAGAGTTTAGCCTGTTTTTGCTGCTTTAAGGTGTTATGAATCCTATATAAGGAAAAGAACAATGTTGCTCACATACCAATTGTTCAGAAGCCACAAGTTTAAGAAATTTTTTGATGAAATCAATGAGACCCTGAATTGTTCGGGTTCGTTCTACAGCCCACTTCTTTGTTTTCATTATAGGGGTGTCTCCAACAGCCTTTAGTAGAACATCAACTGTAAAAATAATGTGAATGACAATTAAACTGAAATAGGTAAAGAGAATGAGATATTAACAATTAGAATACTTAAAAAAAATCACTAACTAGTTTCTTTTAATAAAGCCTGGAGTTGGCCACTGTGATGACTAAATACTTTAAATATTACTTTTTTCTTGTTAATTACTTTTTCTTTGTCCTCCAATAATTTATAAGTCATTACAAGGTTGCCCTTTAAAATCTAGTTGCTAGCTCTAAAAAATTATGTCAAGTCAAAAGCCTCTCTGAACTGAAAGAAATAACTGAAGGGAAATGGTGCCTTCCAGAGATGTCCTGTTTCCCATATCTTCCTTGTACCTATGGCCAAAAGCTGGTAGAATTTAAGCTAGCTGGCCCATTTTCACACTTTTCATCTCATTCCAGTCTAACTCAAGCTAGGACTCATCCCTTCTAACACTTCTCCCTTTCCTCCACCAATTCTCTCACTTCATTCCATCCAGAGTTCAAAAGTTTAGCCTCCTGTTGTTGTTGTTTGTCCTTCCTTCTTGAAGAGGACTGTGATATCAGGGAAATGATGCTGTGACTTGCAAGTGAACTGGATTTAAACGAGGCAGGGCTGTGCAAAGCCACCAGCCTCACTTTCTCCTCTGGAGCCATCTGGATCCAGTGACAACATATAGATCAGAATGGCTGGAAATGGCCCTGGATGGAGTGGGAGATCTTGGCTTTTTTAAAGGTCTCAGTTTGACCGAAACAATGCCCATTCAGTGACTAAGGTTAGGTAAGAAACGAGACAGAGAATGGCTTTTTTACTTGGTGAAAAAAGAAACAGCTTAATAATGATGTTAAGTGTCATGCATTTTGGAAGCAAGGATGGGGTTCAGAAGTAGCAGTGATACTGATAGGGCTTTCTTGCATTACACCTTCTTTCCCCCTGCACTGGGAAGTTTTCTTACATCTTACTCTCCACAACATACTCTTCAGTCTAGTGACACTGGACTTCTTGCAGTTACACAAACAAGACACTCACCTCTTGGCTCTGGGTATTTTTCTCATGGAAAATTGAGTTCAACTAAAACCCCACATTCTATAGGAAGCCTTCCCCCACTTCTCCTAATTTTTTCTTATTTATCCTATGTATAACTTGTTGGTACATATTTGTTTGCTTGTTGTTTCCCGCTTTAGAGTGTAAGCTCCTCAAGGGCAAAGGTTGTCTTTTGCCTCTTCTTGTATCCCCAGCACTTAGCACAATGCCGGGTACACTGTAGGTGCTTAATAAATGTTTACTATAAGTGGATACCAGAAGTTAACATACAGAGGTAAAGAAGAATTCCAGTGAAAGTGAACTCCTGATAGAAAATATTACATACTAGATATTACATAGTTATTAGAGGTGTTGAGTTTTATCAGTTTTCCTTTCCCTTTCTACAGGCATTATTCTAATTCAAATTCAAATTGCTGTTGTTCAGTCACATCCAAATCTTTGTGACCCCATTTGGGGATTTCTTGGCAAATATACTAGACTGGTTTTGCCATTTCCTTCTCCAGTTCATTTTACAGATGAAACTGAGGCAAATAGGGTTAAGTGACTTGCCCTGGGTCACACTGCTAGGAAGTATCTGAAGCAAGCTTTGAACTCAGGAAGATAAATCTTCCTGACTCCAGGCCTGGTACTCTATCCACTAAGCCACTTAACTGCTCCAAATCCAAATCATCTCTTTCTATACTACTTTAAGAGTCCAAAGGGCACACAGCTATTAACCAACTTCCTGTACCATGGTTCTAATGTCATTCTTGTATTTAAAAACCTTCAATAGTTCTTCTACCACCTATACAATAATGCAGACTCCATTAAGCAGGCATTATCTTTGTAAGAAATGTTATATAGCCTCTCTAGAACTTGACCTAAACCTACTTTTTTCCATCTTGACATTGCTCACCCACGGGCATTCTATTCTTCTGTTCCTGAAAAGGCCCTGTACATTTCTATCCTGCCCCTCCTTGTGCCCTCCTTCACGTCAATCTCTCTGCGTGGAATACTCTTATATGACATTTTTATATCTGTTAAAATCCAATCTACTGTTCAACTAATCAATTCACAAATTTATTGACTGCTATATGCTAGGCATTGTTGTAGGTTCTGGGATACAAAGAGAAAAAAGCAAAAAATTTAGATCCTCCTGAAGCTTATAGTCTATCAAGGGAAATGACAGCTACACACACATATTAAACAAAATACATACAAGGATATACAAGGTATTGTGGGGGGCAGGGATGGTGTGGAGATGCAGAAAGCTTAACTTAGGAAGTAAATTTAAGGCTCTGTTCCAAATCCACATCCTCCCAAAGCCTTCCCCATCCTCTCCTGTGTTATTTTTAGGTCTATTATCCTTAGAATTTCAACAGGAACCCTCCATTTAGCGCAGCCTCAACCAGTGACAATCCAGACAACACCTAGAATTACAGTTGGTAGTTGTTTGTGCAAATTTCTTATCTATATACTAAAGCTCAGATCTTCCAGGCCATGAACCACTTTTTGGTCATTTACACAGCCTTCACACCACCAAGAGGAGGCGGCCCCAATAACTGTTAAAATCCAAATCAAGGATGCTTCATGTTCCTCCTGCACTTACAGCGGGGGGAGGAAGGGAAATTAGGGAAATTCAGGGCTGCACCCTCTCACTGCCAATCTGCTCCCCAATCTTGAGCAGCCCAGACGGCTTTTCCCCTCACTTCTACACCAGACGCAATAAACAGACCCTTATCCTTCTCGGATCAGACAGGGGTCCGAGGCCCGCCAAGTTGGTCAATCTTCATTTTTTAGTGGTCACTGCCCTTTGTGCAGTCACACGTCCATCGAAACTGACCTGTCCCAGACAAAGGGAAACAAGGGAAATTACTTTTTTTCTTGGCGTCGCCGGTGGGTTCCTCTGTTCCAGGGGAGACGGCGGCAGAGGGTGCCGGCTCCAAGGCATTCGTATCCGAGCCCACCTCGGGGGCTCCCTCCCCTGCGGCGGAGCCCCCAGGAAGGGACATGGGCGGTCGCTCGGGCTCCGCCATCCTGCTCCTCGGCCTCGGCCTCCGACCACGTGCAGGGGCGGCGGTGTGTGTGCCGCGATGCGAGACCCGATACCTCCCCCGGGCTCGGGCTCGTCTTCCGGGGAGAGCTGAGCGTACAGCCCCTGCGATCAGAAACACGCGGTCACCACTGGCCTCGTCCCTCAAGCCCCTCCAAGCCTTGGGGGCGGCTGGCGGAGGTTAACAGAGTTCTGTGAACCCGGGGGGGGGGGCGCCAGAGGCTGGAGGAAAATGTCCCTCGCTCTCTGCCGTCTGCGTCTGCGCAAGCGTCCCCCGAGCCGGTGCGACGTCTGCTTCTTAAGACGCAAAGTTAGCGTATCGCCTCTTCAACAATGACTTTACAGTCAATACCGACCTTCTCCCTCTAACCTCGAAAGCCGTCGGGCAGTTATTAACAGAGCTCGGTGTCGAGAGTGAGGAAAATCCCCCGGCGCTTTCTGCCTCAGCCTTTGCACCCTTAAGTCCGAGTCTGCGCAGGCGCTCCCCGACCTCTCGCACCCCGTATCGCTTCCTGCCCTCTGTATTTGCGCAGGCGTTCTCCAGGCGCTCGCCCCGACACCCCCGCAGCCGGCGCAGGCGCTCAGACCTCTTCTAGACCTCTGCTTCTGCGCAGGCGCCCCTCGGAGCCCGGGCCAGGGCCCGCCTGGCGGCGCGTGTGACGCGAGGCGTATCCGCTTCCAGCTGATCCAGCCTCTGTCGGGTTCGCTCTCCTCTCCTCTCCCCTCCCTCTCCGGGAGCGCGCGGAGGGGGCGGGCGACGAAGCGACTTGAAGCAGAAGAGGTCTGTGCTGGCTCCGCGCGCGCCGCCCGGGACCCAGCGCCCACCCGGCCACCCCCTCCCTCCTCCCAGACCCTTCCCCTGCCGCGGGCTCCATCATGATCAAGGCGATCCTCATCTTCAACAACCACGGGAAACCCCGGCTCTCCAAGTTTTACCAGCCCTATGTGAGTATCCCTCCACGCCGTGCCTTCCTGCTGCTGCAGCCCCCACGCCCCTCGTCGCCTCCACCTCTCCCAGCTGCAGTCCCGCTCCGCTTCTCACCGGTACCCCGTGCCTGCCCTGGCCATCCACCTGCAGGCTCTCCCCGGAATGTGGGTCTTCTCCGCCCATCCTTATCTGACCGTGAACGTGGCTCCCTTTTCCCCGCCCGGACACCTCCTGTTGCCTGGGCGCGCCTTTCTTCTTTTGCACCATCCCTCTCCACTGCGCCCCCCTTCACTCTAGAGCTAACCTCTCTCGTGCAGTTTGATTGCATCTGTCTCTATGCCTGTCGCTCGGGCATATGTCACCCGGCTAAGGAGAAGTCACTTCTTAGCTCTCCACGGGGATGGCTCTGTCTGTGCCCGCGGCGGCGCGCGCAGGGCTCGGGTTTGGCCAGACCTCCCAAACGTTTTGTTCATTCAGCCAGCATTTATTAAGTACCTGCTGTGCGTTGGGTGCTGGAGGTGCGGAGACAGAAAAAAAAAGTTCCTGCCTTTAAGGAGCTTACCTTTCCTTTTGTGGGGAGGCGACGCGCCCACAGAAAAGTATATTGATCATAGGTCAAAGTGATTTCAGGGAGCAGGACGTTAGCTACTGAACGTAGGTGGTATATCAACTCGAATTGAGCTCTGCAGAGAATCTGTAAAACATGGTTGAGGTGGGAAGACAGTCAGGATATAGGGGACAGACAGCCCGTACAAAGGCAGGAGATGGCATGTCTGGTAGAGGAGAACAGCAGCTGGAACTCAGAATATGAGGAGGGAAGTACTGTGCAACGAGGCCGGAAAAATAGGTTGGAGACAAATTTAAAAGCTAAAGTGAGAAATTTGTGTTTTATCTTAGAGGCAAGAAGGATTCACTGAAACTTCTTGGGCAGGGGAGTGACGTAAAAACATTTTTTCCTTGTTGGATCCAAGGTTCCTTATGGACACTACCACTTTCTTAATTCTAACTGCAGTCTTCATTTCATGTGCCTGATTTTCTGGTGCGTCTCATTTTTATGTGCATGGCTACTATGACTTTGGCCATTCCTTATGAAAGGTTAAAAGTGATAAGGAGTCTATAGGATAACTTTTTTTTTTGGCAGCTGTTAATTATTCACTGCTGAGGTAGCTCATAAAGTTTGTAATAAGGCTAATTAGAATTGTGCTTTTCTACTTGAAATATAGATTTCAGCTTCAAGGGGCATTTTTGAATGAGGAACTTTGACTGTTTAGCAATCACAGGGATCTGTCAAGGTGAGGCAGTTGTAGAAATGGTAAGACTTACTAGACTAGAGGACTTGAGTTTGAGTTAATTCACTGTCACTACCTATTAGCTGTTGTGACTTTGGACTTTTCTCTGAACCTTACTTAGTTTCCTCATTCATACAGTTGGCTAATAATATTGCCCTGCCTATCTCTGGAGGTTGAGAATGTCAAGTGAGATAATGTATGTAAAAGCACTGTATAAATGTAAAGTATTGTCATCATTCCTTATTGTCTTTCAATGAGAATGTAGGACTATTACAATGTTTGTAAAACACTTGGCTATTTAGCAGAGAGCACAAACATTATTGGTAAAAGCAATCGCTGGTTCCTTACCCTGTTTAGAGAGAAATACATTAAAAATTGATCATGTCATATTGATAATGTTTATATATTATGAATATAGAATGTAAGCTCCTTGAGAGTGCAACTGTTTTCCGACTGTCTCTGTATCTACAGTGCCTAGCACATAGAGAAGAGCCACATTCACTGTTGGGGAAGGCACAAAGGGCTGGGCCTTCAGTGGAAAGTATTTAGAGAGAAAAGAGATTGGATCACCAA